CCACACTAGTAAATTGCAAAGAGTCTTTCTCACCAGCCTGGGCTTCTACCATTGAGGTAGAGGAAACCATTTTGACTGGGGGACGGCGGCAGTCCAATCACTTGCACATCAGTCATATATGTTCATGCAAAGGAGAAAAAAATAGAGGTGAGAACCTTAAGAAGCATTTCTTCCTTCACTGAATCTGCTGTCTCTTGCAAGCAAGCAGCTGTAACCAGTAACATTTCAGCCAATATAGAACAGAGTTTGGAAAAGTTATTCTTTCTGGAAATTGTAGTCCAAAAAGTAACATTTTTGAACTCCAAAGTGCTGGAAAGCAAAGCTAGCTGCTGTAGGCTGTGGATTAAAGCTAGGTCTCCCTTCTGCTCAGGACGGCTCCACTACAGTACCTGTCTAGGTTTATAGCCATTTTCTTAACTTCTGTTGTTGTCTCTTGGAAAAAATAATTGTTAGCTCACCACTTTTTCCCTGAAGAGCTTTACAATTCAGTGCTTCTTCTATCATTAGCATTCATTTTGACATGCAAAACAGAAGGAAGTCCCTCTAAGAACTCCTAAGATCTCTCTGAACAGCTGAGACATATTCAAAAATATCACCAAAATAATTTTTTCTAAAAACCAGGATTATGACTAACTCTTACAGCAGTTGATTACTGCCGTCTAAAGATTTGCTAGCAGCTTTTCAGAATTACCTATATGCAAGCAGAGCTCTCTTGCAGATTTGAACTTAGGAAATCTGCTCCTTCCTTGAAGTAGCTGTTGTAAAAACTATTTCTTCCCTGAAAGTTTTACATATGTTTGAATTGTGGAAAATGGTATAAAGTCTTCTAAACAAAGAAAGAACGGGTGTATAATGGATGGGTAAGAAACTAACCTATAAATTCAGAAGTGCCCGCTTGGAACGTCACCTCTGTAAACACGCCAGGTGATTATGCCTAGTACTGTAGCTAATGCTACAGTGACAGGTTAGGGGGCAGTACTGACAAACAACCCTGCTATCAGCATGTGGGGCAGCATGTGTGAAGTGTCCTGGACAGAAAATGTGCTTCATAAAACACATGTACTGTATACACTGTTTCATGGATGCCATGTCACCTGTTTAGACTACTGTAATGTCCTCTGTGTGGGGCTGCCCTTGGGACTGTGACGGAGACTACAGCAGATCCAGAACGTGTTGGCCAGACTACTGAGTGGGGTTAAAAAATACCAACATATCTCCCTCACCCTGGCCCCTTATACTGGCTACCTGTTTGCTTCTGTACCAGTTTCAAGATGATGGTATTAACCTATAAGGCCCTAAATGGTTTGGGATCTCGATAATCTGGCCGGGCGCCTCCTTCCAGTTAGGTCTGCCCATCCTATAAGGTTGTCGCAGGCAGGGCGGCTGAGAGTTCTGATCCCGAGAGAAGCCCAGAAATCAGCTACTAGAAATTGCGCCTTCTCGGCGGTAGCCCCACAACTATGGAACTCTTTTCCGCCTGAAGTTCACCTGGCCCCTTCACTGGGCATATTCAAAAAGCTATTAAAAACCTGGCTATTTAGACAGGTCTTCCCTGAACAAACAACAGCCTGAGACAACAGTGCGCAATCAGATAACATCCATCACACTGCCATGTTCCATGTTTTTACGTTTTTCATGCTTTTAATTGTAATTTATTATATTGTATCTCTGTTTTCACTGCAATGTATGATATTTGATTTGCACCCCCAAATGTATTGATGTTGTTTTATTTTGTTACTTCGTTGTTCTGTCTACTTGTTGTAAACCACTCAGAGTGGCCTTGGCTGCCAGATGGGTGGTATGTAACTCAAACAAACAAACAAACAAACAAACAAACAACTAAATAAATAAACAAATTTAGTGGAAGCTAGACTCATAGAATCATAGAAAAGTGAAGTTGGAAGGGGCCTATAAGGGCATCAAGTCCAACGCCCTGCTCACGGCAGAAATACAATCAAAGCATATCTGCCAAGTGATTGTCTAAGTTGTTCGTGAATGCCGCCAGTGTTGGAGTATTCACCAACTCCCAAGGTAACTGGTTCCACTGTCGTACTACTCTAACAGTTAGGAGGTTTTTCCTGATATTCAACTGAACTCTGGTTTCCTTTAACTTGAGCCCATTGTTGCGTGTCCTGCACTCTGGGATGATTGAGAACAGATCTTGCCCCTGCATAGGATGAAACTGCATGTTGGATCTTAGAACCTGTTGTTCTAAGAGTAACATGCCTTTTCATGTGGCTATTGTCTCCCATTCCTTTCTGCCAGTTTCAACACAAGGAGGCTAGGGTATAAAAATCCTTGGAATGCCCAGACCACTGTAATCCTTCTACCATGGGAGAGGATTCTGCACCATACCTCACTAGCGACCATGCCAATCTGGACTCGGGGCCTCCCAGCATATGAGGGCATCTGCATGTTTCCTCTTGCTATATTGCTTGGAAGTCAGGCATGTACATAGAATGATCATAGGTAGGGTTGGAATGGATCTTCTCCATCCTCTTGCCATTGGAGGAAACTCACAGCTACACCATCGCTCACAGATGGTCACCGAGTTTTAAAACCTCCCAAGGAGGAAGAGTCCACTATCTTCTGAAGTAATCTACTCCATTGCTAACTAATCATCAGGAAGTGCTTCCTAATGCTTAGCCTAAAAGTCCTTTCTTGAAATATGAATCAATTTGCTTATGTCCTGTCCTCTGGAGCCACAGAAAACAAGTTGCTCCATCTTCCAGGAGACTGCCATTCAAATATTTGAAGACGATCATCATATCACCTCTCTGTCTTTTAGTTTTCAGGCTAAACAGACAGAGCTCTTTGAACCATTTCCTCACAGAACTTGATTTCCAGACACTTTATCACCTTGATTCATCTCCTCTGGACATAGTCCAATAATCTGTTGCAGATGGTCATTTTTATATTACTTTGCTTTAAATATAAATTATCCTCTTCCACAGCCAGAAGTGTTCATTTCCAAGTAAATGTTTTTCTCATCAAGGAACAGAAGTAAGCATCATTTTATTCCAGTAGTCATGACAGTGTTAAGACCAGCAGAAGTTTAACATGCTGGTCTCCACTAGTTCAAATATTTGTCTTCTGGCTGGCTTGGCAAACATTCCCCTTCTGTCCCCACCAACCAAGAAATGTTTAAACCTTCCCGGTTTTTGCATTTTACAATTATATTGAACTTACATTTACTTGGAAGAAATCAGAGTGCATCTGCATTCTATATATAATATTCAATACAGTGTGTATTTTACCTTTCAGGCTGCATTGCCTTGCAGTTCTGGGATTAAAAAACACCATTATTTTGTTTTAAGGATTGTAATAAGATAAATATATAAAAAGTATTTTGAATACTGTTAAGTCTTATACACATATTAACATACCAGTGACCACTAAACAGCATCCCAGTCTTGTTTTGTAACAATAACATGACTCTGTTCTCCCAAGTATGTTTTACTTTATTTTATTTTGATATCTCAGTGAATGAAGAAAATATGCCACCACTCATCCAGTGCAAGAAAATTCTGTGCTGAGTGACATGATTTACAAACAAATCTTGGTTTAGAGGTTTGTATGCATAGCACCACAGCTGCTGCTTCTGCCTCCCTAGCCAATGACCCACTCACCAGTCAGACCATGGGTCCTCTCCTCCTTCGACTGTTTGACCAGTCCCTGGCAGAAGCATGGGTTTGCCTGTTTGACCAGTCCCTGGCAGGAGTCATGGGTCTGACTCCTTGTCTCAATGGCTGATCAGCCACGGAGCAAGGCAGGGGAGCCTGTGCTTCTGCCGGTGACTGGTCAAATGGGCAAAGAGGAGGAGGCCTGAACTGGCTGGTGAGGAGGGATCCAGCTGGGGAGGCAGGGGAAGGGAAGGTGCCATGTTTATGAACCAGAGGGAACCTCCGAACCAAGGCTGGTGCCTGTCTCTATTTACAACCCCATTACAAACAGCGGCATCAGTAATTAAATAAATAGCAGCCGGTCACATTTCCTTTTGTTTTTATGACTTTGATAACATTATTAAGTCTTGAAAGTCACGTTAGAAAGCTTTCAGATGAATGAATGGGGTCAACTGTCCTAGGCCACTCCCTGTCTCGTAGCTGAATTTATCCCATAGGGTAGCTTTAAGACAGCGTGGGATAATAATTGTGAGTTTTCAAACTTGGATCTCCTCTCCACTGTGGCATGTGATTTCATTGCCCTACTCTGTCTTTCCCCGTATTTCTCAAAAACAATGGTAAAACTGACTCACTACAAGTTAGATGGACCATGTTCTAGCAGCTGAAGACCAATGGTGTAATCGAGTTGTGAGCTACCATGAATCAAACTGGAAGTGTTTGATAAAATGAGTGGAGCATATATATAAAGAGTAGAGTATATACAGGATGAGTATCTATTTATCTGTACAGCTGGTTGGATAGCTCAGTAGGTTAGGTATTTGGCTACAGAGCCAGAGGTCGGGAACTCAGTTTCCCCAGTGTGCTTCCCAGGAGGGTCAGCCTGTGTGACCTTAGGCAAGCTGCACAGTTCAAGAAACCCCCCAAAAGAAGAGAAAAGTAAAGCAGTTCTGAGTACTCTTTACCTAAAACCCTGAAAAGGGTCACTATAAATCGGAATTGACTTGAGGGCACACAATTATTATTACGTATTAGGGATAGGAGCTTTGCATTTGTCTCTTGGGGGAGACAAATACGAAGCTCACTGGCACAGTTGGCCAGTCCGACTGGACCCTCCCCTGTCAAACCGGGCGTCCACTCCCGACTTGCCGCATAGCATGCATGGCTGGCATCTTCGAAAGTTCGCCAATCATGACAGTAGCCCGGCTGGTGCTGCCCTGCCTCCCTGCTTGGGTGGCCATTCAGGAGCTGAGTGGGGAGGCTCGCCATCCCTCCCCTTTGCTGGAGTGGCCAGCCGAGCAGAGAGATGGGGCAGCACCAGCTGGGCTACTGCTATGATTGGTATGCTTTTGATGATGATGCCCACATGGGTCATGAGGCGAGTCATAAGTGGATGCCCAGTTTGAAGGGAGAGGCCCTGATCGTGCCAGCCACTTGTGCCGGCAAGCTTCATATTCATCTCCCCTGAGAAACAAATATGAAACTCATATCTTTATTGCATACAGAACAAAGGTGTCCCAGTGGCCATACTGCCTGGGAAATTCTGGGACTTTGTTGTAAAAAAAAACATAAGCTTGAACACCCCTAATATAGAAGGATCTGAGTAAACAAGGGTTGTGCTGCTTGAATTATGGTTTCATAATGAAGTATCTGTGGTCCTTCCAATGCAATTTCACTACCTTTTGCCTCAAGCGCTTAGATAGTTTTCCTTTCATTATTTAATTTGATGTCCAGGTCTCGGAGCTGGCTGAGGAAGCCTGTGTTTGGGCAAATACCTCTGTGTGAATCCACTGATTTTAAGGCCTCCACAAGCGTCAGGTTTTCATGGATCATCAAATAAGCCAGCACTAAAGTGGCTGAGCGGCTTAACCCCATAGCACAATGGACAAATACTTTTCCTGCTGAAGAAAAAGAAAAAAAGCAGCATTGAATGAATGTGGAACACGCAGAATTAGACATCTTGATTTTGCAAAGAATATACTTCATGAGATGAATGGTGGAGGAGTATCTATATTTGTGTAGGACATAATGTTACAATTATTGTTGGAAGTTTAAATGTGTGGATTGAAAATTGCCCATTCAGCTAACCTTAGGTGGCCTTCAGAAAACCTCTTTTAGGGTAGAAAGAGATGAGGAAGCAGCTTTTCACTTAAAAGCAGAATAGCCTTAAGGCACAGAGGAGGTCTGATAATCTACCAGTGTTGCTTTGCAAGTTGCAAATTAGTTTGTTTTTGTTTGGTGATTGGTCCTTAGGAGGCAAATACTGGGCTTTGTTTGCATGATGATTGTGTAAACAGGACAGCTGTGGAGAATACAAAGCAGTCAGATTTTTTGTCTTCCAACAGGGAAGCTACTCTTTTGTCTGTTTCTGTCCTGAGATTCCTCCCAAGTGTCCACAATATGGGGATTATAACATTGATGTACATTAAAGACATGATATAAGGATTTCTGAGGTAATTAAATTTAGATTTTCAGAACATTTAAATATACTGTATAGATCATAAGTATCTTTTAATATGATCCATTGCTAACTGTGGTCATCTAACCTAAATATGTCAGATACATGCTGTAGTGTTAATTTTGTTAATCTCAAAAAAATTTTTTTGGCAGGAAGGATGTGTGAATGGTTTAGGAAGACCATTTAATATACTGGAATCCCCACAAAATTCAGTATATAGGCAAGCATTACCTTCATTTCCTTCTACATTGGGACCTCTAGAATGATGGAAAATTATCATGGGCACCCGTATTCGAGAGTCACTATGATTTTGCAAATAAGCCACACTATTTGTAGAAAGCAAGCATGTTGGGTTGGATGCAGAATTTGGTCATCCTTAGAATAAATAAGGGACGCGGTGCTGCTGTGGGTTAAACCGCAGAAGCCTCTGTGCTGCAAGGTTGGAAGACCTATAGTCGTAAGATTGAATCCATGCCACGGAGTGAGCTCCTGTCTCTTGTCCCAGCTCCTGTCAACCTAGCAGTTTGAAAGCATGTAAAAATGTCAGTAGATAAATAGGTACCACCTCAGTGGGAAGGTAACAGCGCTCTGTGTCTAGTGCTGGCCACGTGACCATGGAAAACTGTCTACACACAAAAGCTGGCTCTACGGCTTGGAAACGGGGATGAGCACCGCCCCTGGAGTCGGACACAACTGGACTAAATGTTAAGGGGAACCTTTACCTTTACCTAGAGTGAATCCCTCAAAACCAGTGACATCTAATTTCATGAGGATTAATAATGGCAACATCCCTACATGCACCCCTCAACCTCAGGGGATCAGGCACAGAGATGCCCCAGCTGTGACCAAGAAGAGCCAATTAAGCAAAGCACCTTTGCTTAGCTGTAAGTCTGTTGCTAAAAATGGTAAGATTAAAGTCTGCCCTTAAATAGCTTTGCTGAATCAGAAGAGCTGCAGCTTTTGGCATAGAGAATTCTAATGCTTGAATGTGGCTCCTACTTCTACTGACAGCTCACTTTCTTTCTTACCTCCTTCACTGTTTAAGGCTTTGCGCATGAAGTTAGCAGCATCATGGAAGAAGATGCTTATATCGAATGCATTGTCATCGAAGGCTTGTACCCCATAATACTCGATGGGCAGGTCTCTGTAATAGCGAGCTCCAGTGTTGATGTTGTATGGTCCGTCTGCTGCATTAAGGATGTGGGTGATGCCAAGGCTCTGAAGGATTGTTTTACTTCTAGCTGCCCATCTGTTGAAAGATAACAAAGGTTGCTACCGATGCTCCATACAGAAGTGGATTTATTTAACAGGCCTCCAAGGAGCTTCCTGTGGAGGCACAAATAAGCACATATAACTTAGCTCCCTGAGCATCTCTGAAGTTCCCATTTGCCCACTGCTCCAATACATAGCACTGTCTGAAACCTATAGAAGCCCCTGCCTATTGGACTGTGGCTATGCATGGACTGTTCCATTGGGCAGTCATGTTTACAGTCAGTCTGTCTTTCTTTCCTTGTCAATCTGTTCATGGAAACAGCAGACAACCAGTAGTTCTCCCTCTAGAGACCCTACAAGGTCTCAGGAATCTTCATCAACTGATGTCAAATGAGATGTTTAGTGGAATATGTATTTCTTCCTGTAACACAAGGAGACACTGTATGTGCCTCAAGAGGTTTGCCAAAGAAGCCTGGTCTAGACAAGGCACTCCGCTTGCATTTAGAAGCAGCTAGTGCATTGTCATCCAATGGCAGGACTTCCTCGGAGCTGCGTATCTGAGCAGTCCGATGTGCAAATTAAACCTAGATTTAACTCCTGATGAGCAATCAGGAAAGAAAGAAAGCCAAACCTGCAAGGAGGCAATGTGTGAAAAGCTTGTGCTGGGATACCTGTTTATCTTTCAATGACCAATCATAACAAAAAGCACATTAAATGCATGATAGGGAGCTGAGCAAAATGATGCCCTATAGCACTCAGGCATATTTTATTACCCGAAGAAGCACCTCTTCCAAACATGTGCAAAATATAGCATTTAGTATAATCCTCAGCCCTCTCAGAGGCTGCAGCTTCTAGAATCCGTGCTGTCTAGTATCTCCAGATTAGTGAAAAACTGAGCAAGCAAGCCTGTTTCCCCATAGTCCGTTGTTCTAGAATTATTATCCTTCGTTCACTCATTACAGAAATTCCACATTACATTGTTAGCCCATCCCTTTTCCCCCTCAAATGTCATCCCACCAATCCCCTGACTTTTAATGAAACTGCAGCACAAGCCTGTCCAGTATAGGGAAGCAGAAACTGGTTGAGTCAGAGAGTGAGATGAGTGACTTAACAGGGTTGATGATGCCTCATTGCCGTATTTCTTGACTGCAGAACTATTATGAGTCTTTATAGAACCCACCAGGTCCTGGTGGGAAAAATATGAACTGGGGGAACCCTTGGGGCCATGTAATGCCCCTTCCCTTATTGTTTTGTTAAACATTACATAATCATTAGAATGTCAAATTAGGGAAGATGAGGCAGGGAACAAAGTGATTGTTAAAATAGGTTAGGATCAGAACTCAGAAAATTACATTTTAAAAGGAGCTTTTGTGTTACTTACATACAATTACATACAAAGCCCTTAACGGTTGAGGGCCTTGATACCCGGCAGAGCACTTTCTTCCACCCAGTCCCACCCAGTTCTACCCGCATCACCGGCTCCAGTCATGCCGGGTGGCTGAGGGGCTGAACACCAAGAGAGGCCCTGTGGGGAAAAACTAGAAATTGGGACTTCTTGGCAGTGGCCCCTCACCTTTGGAACCACTTACCTGTAGAGATCTG